TACCGAGAAGCTGCACGATCGTAATCTCTATCTTGATGAATAACTCAGACGAGCCAGTTAAACGTAATAGTCGATGTAAATAATACATTTGCGCGACACAAAGAATCTTTTTTTTTTTGTGAATTTGTGAATCAGAATATCGTTTATACCGCAGAAATTACTTTTTCTAATTTTTACCATTATTCGATCCTTTATCTTTTTTGGAAGCACTTTAAAACGAGAAGATATATTTGAAAAATGGTGTCGATGGTGAATTTTCACGAATGACAATTAGTTTCTTTCTTCGACAAATTTCAAGACAAATGTTTAAACAATTTAGAGATGTTTCGCAATCCCTGGAATCGGATTAGAATAATAATTGGCCGATGATCAAAGGACTCATTCATGGATCCCACACTTATTAACCTTAAGTTTATCGGTTTGAAATATAATGATAATGAATCAAGCGAATGGATGTCGCAGAAAATAAATCTGCACTTTGGACAAAAGCCAGAAACTCATTTAAAGTTGTCCACTCCAGTGGCTATTCCCAAATCTGCTCGGTTTGCAATCCTTGGAAAACTAAATAAATACTGCGTGCAAAATCGTTACCTTGAATTTGTTGCAACGATTAAAATTATTAAAATTTAAAGGCAAATTTTTTTCCGTCCAAATAAATGAAATTTTCGAGAAAAATCTCGTACTTTTTTAATAAATTTTCGAGATTTGAAAAAAATTGGAAGGCTCAAAAAAATGTCTTATCTTTTCCGGCGAATAAAAGCGATCGAACGTTTTATTCGCTGCTAACAATTTGAAAAGGAAAATTTAATTCCAACAAACGATTGTTCAAAATTGAAATATTACACGTATAGGTAAAGATTTACCTATCTGTCGATCCCTTCTGAATGGAATTGAAATTGCAACTGATGCGTTAATCACGCTTTCATTAAACAGGCTTCACCGTGTCCAATCGAATTATTGTTTTTGCTTAACGAAACGCTATCATTTCTGAAATGTAATTTTCACCATTGCAAGATTATAATTGGATCACCATTCACCTCAATGAAGCTTCAATTTGTACGATGAGGATGGTAATTGGAGCGAGATGATATATCTCTCTCTCTTTTTTTCGAATTACGCTTATAAATAAAAGAGAATTAAAGTAAATAACGTCGACCAACGATTCGATCATTTCGAATTTCTTCCATTCTACAACGTTTCAATATTTTAATCGCTTTAGTTACACGTATTTTTCCTTTCGAATCTATTTTTACTTTTCCATTTATTCAAAATAAACTTCCGTGCAAGATTTTTTCTCTTTCTCTTATGCAAAACGCATTCAACAAGTTCCTACAAGCAGCAACATCTCCGCTATTTCGCCGTTGGTTAAACCTCCTCCGGTTACAACGCGAAACGAGTTGTTCCAAGTTTACGCAATCGAACAACTCGTGCGTCACTCGTATTCCAGATTTTCGATCGATTCTTCGAAAACGATAAACGGGGATCACGGAATCGTGACGACGAATAACAGCAGATTATCTCGTTGTTTGTATCGTAAAATAGTGGGGAGAATGGCGGAAGGAATGAAGAAAGATTGTTTCATCTTTTGAAAAAAACGTAAGGATATTTTTATTAGAACAATGGAAAGGAATATTCCCTGTTTTCCAATGTAAACTGTTGTAAATAGTTTTAATTAGAAATTCATGAGAAGGGAGGGAAAGGGTTGAAAGAGAAGGTAGCTCGCTATGGAAACACGCTCTTTCACTAGGATGACCTAGTTGGGATTGGAGAACGATTTTTCTCTCTCTCTCTTTTTTCCTGGATAGTTTGCAATCAATCTCGAAATCGAAAATTACTTTTCATCTTCTTAACGTTCTGTGGATTTTCAACCGCTGTCGAGAAAAAATTATTAAAAAATTTATCTGTTATTTAGCCAAGCATTAAATATCAAGACTTTAACTATTTTTAGAGCACAGCCGATCATTTTGAATGTTAAAAAAAAAAAAGAAAGAAAGATATTTTACTAAAATCGAGTCAAAATACTAGATGATATAATTCTAATTATAAAAAAAAGTATAATAAACGTGCAAGTTGTAAAATCTCAAAATTTATACTAAAACTTCATTCAACATTTTGTTCAACGCGCCTTTTTCTCGAGGAACTGGAAGAAATAAAAGGCTCATCCATATCAAAGAAAGTTCACGAAAAATATACATATTGAAAGAGACTCGAATAACGATGAAAATGAAACTGAACTTTTATCTCGTGCTGAAACAAAAGGATAGGAAAATAAGAAAAATAAAATGAAAATAAGTAGTATATATACATTCTAAAACCTAGAAGTGATATTCTATTTTTAAACATTTTATCTTATTTTTATCTTATTCGTGTACAAGCCACAATCGTTATTTTTGATGTTAGGAAAAATTAACACCAGTTGTTCATACCCACCACTGGCTACAATTTTAATATATCGTTTATAAAACCATAGCCCCAGTTAAGCGCAACACAGCACGTGTAATAAAGACGCGAGCGCATTCTTCAATGCTCTTCCGGACTCGCAAACTAATCTCACGTTCTAGCATCCCTTCTCTTTGACCAGCGAGCATAAACATCAGAAATCACCCTCAAGAGAGAGTCGATCGGTATTCTCGGGCATTCGTGGCACGCGTTGACCCAGAAAACCATCCATCGTCAATTTCACGATCCTGGAAGCGGAAGCTCGAGTCGAATAAATAACGGGATAAGGTTGCTCGAGAATTCTTGCAACCGGGTCCAGTTTAAACAATAAATTTCGCAAAGATTCAGTCCTAGCTTGTCAGGTTGGGACAGGTTCCTTCGAATCTTGGGCCACCTCTTATTCCGCGTTCATTCGACTTGGACTGACTCAGGAAGATGCTGATGGATACGAAAGATTGTTCACAAAAAAAAAAGACTGCACAGATAAGATTGCTCGAGGATTCTTGCAATCGGATCCAGTTTAAACAGTAAATTTCGCAAAGATCCAGTCCTAGCCACTTGTCAGGTTGGGACAGATTCTATCGAATCTTGGGCCACATCTTATTCCGCGTTCGACTTGGACTGACTCAGGAAGATGCAAATGGATACGAAAGATTGTTCACAAAAAAAAAACCTCTTGTCGGAAGATTACACACAAGATCACGTTATATCCAAGCGTCATTTGATCTTCGTGGAAGGGGGAAGGCACGTTTAAGGGCAACCTACTTTCCTCCAGACTGCACAGATCGGGCTGATTGATGTTCCCATGTTGGAACATCTTCTGCTTGAGCTACTTTGACGAAGGGTGGTACTTCGACACGGAAAACTTGTAATCCTGATGAGATTGGGGCTGCGCCCTTGGGATGTAATGATGATTGGACCGTATATATATATATATATATAGAGCAGTATAAATCATATATTATTTTTATCGTTCTTTCTTTAAAATGAAAATAACGCATTCTTTCATCCTTCGTATATTCATAACAATTTATACATACATGTATATACAATTTCATTGATTTTCATGTATATCCCGCGCAATATCCTGCTACGCAATGAAAAAAAAAAGGGAAAAAAGATGCAACAGGTAACTAATTATACCCACGCTAACGAGATTGATATCTATTTACGTTGAAATATCATCGGCCAGTGTATATTGTATCTCCGATTTCCAACAAGAGGCGTAGAGGTCGCCCGCATCGAGCGACTTCCTTTAATTAAATCACGCGCCCTCCCACGCGTGCACGTGCGTGAATTATTATTTCACGCTTTTCCACAGCGAAAATTACCCCCTCCCCCTAAGAGGGAAGGACAAAGGTCGGATCAACGACGCGTTAAACTCACCAATGTGCTGATGCTAAAAGCGTCATCGATACGGATTAATTGATCCTAGCTTAATTGGCTTGTCATCTCTCTTAACAGAGAGAGTAAATAACAGATCGTTAGTTTGGGGCTACTTTGTTTCTTGGGGACGAAAAGAACGAATAATTTGATTTATCGAGAAAGAGACGAATTTTCCAATTTTTGTTTTCTTCGAGCAAGCCTTGGTTTTTTGGAGCCTGGTTCCCACGAATACAATACAAACGTTGTTCCAGAATGTAAACTGGTGGTTCCAATAATCGGTCGTTTGCGTAATTACATAGCGCTTCGATTAAACGATGTTTGGATACGATCGAAGCTATTAATACAGATCGTAATGCAAACAGCTGATTGGTTGGAAAAGAGGGGAAAAGTTTAGAAATTCGATTAATATCGAAGGTATGATATCGTAGAAGCTGCGAATCAATATAAACAATCTTCTTTCCGTTCAATTGATTATACGATCGATCAGTTAATAGACGATTTATTCCTGAATCATCCGTCCGATGATAATTTAGTTTTAATCGAATAATCATTTCGATCGAATGTAATACCAACGAAAATATGTTTATCCTGTAATTGATTTGAAACGGAAATTGGCATGAATCGGGCGCGTGTTTCTACTCTTACACCCGCGGATGTTATAAATTTTACTATTGCGTTGTTTTCGCTTATAAATAAATTTCGATTGTGAAAGTTGAATGGTTTCCAACCATGATTTCATCAAAATCGAAGGAATATTTTCTCTTTTCTCTTCGAGGATAGGGATTGTGAAACGAATAGGGAGAATAAATTTCTATCACCCTCCCCCCTCTTTCATGGATCTCTCACGTTCTACACGCCCTAACTCGTCCCCTCTTCCTTCTCAGAATATTTTTATAAAACGATTCGAAGGGGGATCATTGTTTCACGCAATTTTCTTGTTTCTGTTCGCTCGAAATTGGAATTGGAACGATCATAAGGAAACTGGTGTACAATTTGCAACCGATAGAGAACGCCACACGCCTTGCATGAATTTAGAGCGCAGCTTTTGGGAGACGTTGAGTTCATCGCAATACTGAATGTTCGCCCATTGATCCCCCGCCCCTCCTCGTTGTATCACGCTTGACACACGTGAGAAAAGAGCAGGAGAATTGATCTTTCCCCGTTTGATCTTGCAGCCATGGCGAGGACCTCATCGTCACGCCGTTCGCGCAGATCCTCGCCTCTCTGCGCTCGGTCAGGAACAACTTCCTGTCGCTTACTAATGTGCCCACCAACAAGTGAGTATTTAAAATTTACATTTTGCTGAAAAAGTAATTATCCTTTTTTTTTTTGATGATTTAAAACGTTTGAAATGCAATGAACGAGCATTGGATCAGCGTTTGAAAAGTTGGGATCGCAATCAAATTTTGAATTTTCTTTCTTCGTCGATGAGAGTGAGTTTCGAGAAGTGTCAATCTTCTTTCCTTTAGATGAGGACGATTATTGAACGCTTAAATCATCTTTTGGACTTTATCCAACGTTTGTTCGATATTGTTTTTTACTTTTTTTCATCAATTTCTGATTTATTATCATTCTTTTTTTTTTAGTTATTCAAAATTAGTATGTAAAATAGTTAATTTTTAGAAATTTCGATAGGTACCAATGATTGTTCAATTTGCAATTTCGTAAGAAAGAAATTGAACGATAATTTTATTCTTTTAATGAAATTCGGGATGCTTTTATCCTCAGATCACGAAGGAGTAGCGGTGCACAGGGTAGCAGCACGCCGCAGCCACGGATCTTGGCACCTGGAGGTAAGAATTATTATTATTTTTTCCAATTGTTAACCCTTTGCGCTCTTCGCCACCATCTTGAATCGATGCGATATTTATTCACCTTTGATTCTTTTAAAATAATGTGCTGTCGAATGCTTGGATTTTTTTATCTCAAATCAGATCTATATTTTGAGCGTTAGTTTGAGCTCGACAATCGTGGAAATATTATTTTCAAAGCTTCGTAAGCATGGAATACGTGCAACGAAGTTGATTGTTCAAGTGAAGATCAATTTGGTTTTTCGTTATCAAAATTATTTTTGTTCGTTGAGAAATTGACGATAGAGAAATGAAAAATAAGAATGAACGATGCCCTGACAAACCGAGGATGCATCTTGCTAATCGCTTTGTTATTAAAATAACACAATATAGATTTTAATATTCGACGAATTTTCTTTCTTTACGCGTAAAGATACATAAAATATTAAAATATAAAAGTTTTTTTACGCGTTAATTCATGTGTGTTAAATAAACAAAATTATTTCTATTCATTGAGAAAATTTTGACGATAGAAAAATGAAGATGTAAGAAGATGAAAAATAACAGTGAATGTGAGAGCACGTCATTGGAATTGTAAGGTTTGCTCTCAATAAAGGAAAGGAAAGGTGAAAGACAAATCGAGGATGCATGTTGGTAATTGCTTTCTTATTAAAATAACACGATATAGATTTTAATATTCGACGAATTTTTTTTTCTTTACACGTAAAGATGCGTGAAATATTAAAATACAAAAGTTTTATACGTTAATTCGTGCGTGAAATCGCATTGATTCGAAAAAGGGGTGGAGTGCAAAGGATTAATTAAATTACATATCGAAGATTAAGCGAAAGAAATACCCACGTTCATCCAAAATATATTACGTTTATTTAAGGGTATTCTCCACTGGAGAATCCATTTAAACGAAAATTCGATTAATTTCCCTCTTCGAAGTCGTTTTTTTTTAAATCAGGAAAAGAGGAATCCACCCCTTTCGAGGGATAGAATATTCACGATTATTCGCGGGGAAAGGAAGAGCATTCCGCTCCTTTGAAAAATCAAATTCTCGAAATTGCTCGAAGTCTCGAGCTTTGTCTCCCCCACGTTTCATTTCCACGTGTCATTCCTGCTCCAACGTCAATTCGCTCCTCTCTTTTGTTCCCACGATTGATCCCTCATTTACGCAACCTTTCATCTTTAACGAACTTCAAGACTCCATTTATCCCCCCAAACCTCTCACGTCTCTCCTATAGAAAAGGTTATAAAAACACGAGTACATATTTAATCACATATTCGTCAATTAATTAACTTGAATAATCATCTTGGATTCTTTGGATTGAAGAGGAAAGAAAAAAGAAAAAAAAGTATGGAATATCGAGGATCCACCTAAAATTCCTTTCCGGTCGACCAACTTCAGAAGCTCGAGTCGAGAAAAAAACGAGACGAGTTCCTGGCAAGTTTACGGAGGAGGCTCGTTTTTCTCGCCTCCTCGCACAACGATTAACTTCATCATGTTGCCAACAGCCCGTTTCCTTTCTCGAGGTTTCAACCTCTCCCTTTGTTCTCTGGCTTTCAGAGGAAAACTACATGAAATTGGCGGTGGAGACGATGGAGGAGCTGGACTGGTGCCTGGACCAACTGGAAACCATTCAGACTCATCGATCCGTGTCCGACATGGCCTCTCTGAAGGTAAGAGCGCGACACGTTTCCTTCAAAATTCTTTCTTTCTTTCTTTCTTTCTTTCTTTCTTTCGCGTGGAAACTTTTTCGGTAAATCGTCGCCTTCTCGGATCGGGTTCAACGCCATCTGGATCGACAGTTTCGTGGAACTGGCTGAGAGGAAGCGATTTGATCATCCACGTCATTCCGCGATTGACGACGTGATTTGAATAATTTCGCGGGATTTGGGACGCGTTGGATCGATTTGCATTGAGGGGGAGGCGGGAAAAGAGGGAGGGGGGGTGGGAGAAGGGGAGGTTAATTCAGAGAGGTTCGTTGTTAGAGGCAGGAGTGATCGAGATTAACACGAATCGATGATTCTTTTTTCTTTCTTCTTTTTCGAAATTAATAAGAATTGTTCGAACAAACGCTCGCGTCTCTGCCTCTCTTTCTTTTAAAAAAAAATTCCCTATTTTACGGAAACGAGAAGCTCGTTTTCGAACAAAGGAGGCGAGCTCGTTAAAAATCCCGCGCTTTTAACGAGCCGCCATTTTGGGGATAGGTTATGAGATGGTTGTTGCTCGTTGTTATTTAATTAGAATAATCGAATAAAGGAATTTTTCGAGCGAAAAAATGTTTGCCAATTGTTGTTGTAGGAATTTTACGTAGGATACAATTTTATGTAGGAAAAGACGGGGAAACGGATGATTGGTGTTTTATTAAATGAAAGGAAAAGAAGAAATAGAATTTCATCGTTGAAGTAAGATATTTTGTTAAGCAAAGAAATTTCTCGATATTTGTTGAATTTTAATTGCGCCTCGTTTGTTTACGAAAAATAAGAGGGAATTTGTTGTTACGAATATTTTATGTATATTTTACATTTCTTTCTTTTCTTTTTTTTTTTTTTTTTTTTTTTTTCTTCGTTACGAAATCAAGTTTCATTGAGGTTGCAATGTTTACCTATTGCATCTCTTTGGGAAAAAAAGGATGGAAAAACAGTGACCACGCCACCGATAATGATGAGAAAAAAGGGGGATAATTAAACTAATTAAGCAAATGTATTCAATCTGTTGGAAATTTACAATCGCGTAAAAACGATAAAAACGCCAGAAAATTCCGATCATTCAACGTTCAATTACATCATTATTTGTAATGATACGATATATCGATTAATGATAATACACCCTATCGATGCAAATTCTTATTTTAATAATTTTAATTTTAATTTTAATCAAGGACAGAATAATAGATCGTATAATTTCGAAATGTTTTCATTTTAATTATCATTATTTTCGTAAAAATTATTTAAAATATTTTCACCTTAAAATAAAATCTCAACTTCACCCAATTCGACGATGAAAAGAATTTTCAATTTTTCAAATTCTTATTTATAACAATTTTAATAATCTTAACTTCAATCAAGGATAGAATAATAGATGGCGCGAAATGTTCATTTTAATAATCATTATTTTCGTAAAAAATTATTAAAATAATTCACCTTAAAATAAAATCTCAACTCCATCCAATTCGACGATGGAAAGAATTTTTAATTTATCAACTTTTCAAATTCTTTATAATTCTTCTTTAAAAACCTTTTAACAACCTTAACTTTAATCAACGATAGAATAATAGATCGCATAATAATTTCGAAATATTCCTTCAAAATCATTATTCTCGTTTTAAAAATTAATAAAATTCAAACGAACCATTACTTATCAAAATTCTGTATTCACCTTAAACAATTAAAAATATATTCTCAACAAATTTGCAAATTCCATCAAAATATAAAAGGAACTTTAATTTTCAATGCTCTTCTTCCACAATTATATTCCATATCATCGAGGTTTCCAATCCCTCCTCGTGAGTTGCAATAAACACGTTTACACCCAATATCGTCCGATCACGCACGCCATTTCGAAAATCGAGCCCTTCTTCCTTTCCTTAGAAAACGGTTCCTTCCTCGACGAGGAGATTCTGATAAATTCACGAATCACGTCGCCTCGATCCCTCCGTTTATTATCCCTAACTTTGATGTATTTTCAATCGGAGGGGAAGCATTGCGATCTGTTGTTCCTCAACTGCAACGTGCGACTACTTGGAGGAGGGGGAGAGAAAACTTTGATGATCTGCCTTTTTTCTTCTTCTTTTCTCCCTTTCTTCCTTTTTTTTTATTGGAAATTGTAAATGGTTTCGAAATTGTTGGGATTTTATCGTGGATACTTTGGCATTTTTTTGTTTCTTTGTTTTCTTATCGTGGACAGGATTCGAAATTAAAAAAGTGTTGAACGTTGAAAATATTAATGATATTCGGGAATGGTGATAATTTTTGAAACGGATCAAATTTGTAATAATATCGTGAATTAATGAAAGGATGTTCTCGTGCTTAGAATAGAAGTCGAGAAAATATATATGTCAGACACCTGCGTGGAGATCGATAAAAGTTTCATCATTTTTCTTACTTGGATTTTCGTATCGAAACTCCATCGTGCTTGCTTTCGAAACTGGAAGAGTTTATTTTTTCCCCCGAGTTTATTTTTCACGTTTCTAAGAAGTTTTTCCCTCCGCTACGCATTCTTTTCTTTTATTAGTATACTTTGAAAATATTTTAAAAATAATATATCCTTTTTTTTTTTTCAGAAAAAAATCTCTTTAGAAAGATAGAAAAATAATTTCTAGAGATCGATTTTAAATTAGATATAATAACTCCGCGAAACGAAGGATTGGAAAGAAAAAAAATTTCTCAAAAAAAAAAATCAGAATGATGGAAATAAAAAGGAGAAAAATCTTAAAAGAGATCTTGAAAGCATTTCGAATTCAAATGCGACTCGAATATAACAAAATTTATATCTCAACAGCTTTTAACGTTTTCGAGCTACGATGAATTTCGAGCGAAACGGTTCGTCTAATCGTTCCGCGGTAGTTTGTTGACACACGAATTCAAGAAGGGACATTTACGACTTGTTTTCCTTCACTCACGACCTCGAAGAAAATTCGAGACCTGATAATCTATACTCCGCTTCGACCATGAGCGCGCAGTTTGTGGACTATTGCTTGGGTTGCGTAATCAGTTTCACGGTCAAGGCGATTGATAATGTAGATGGCGCTAACGAGTGACACGGTAGTAGATTTTCTCGAAACGATTCGCTCGAATTTTCTGAATTTTCCCTCGATATCGATCACTTTGGACCTCGATTACATATTCTCGATTCTTTTCTTCTCTTTTCTTCTTTCGAGATAATTTCGAGCGTACTTCGATTAATTGATCGTGTTGATCGAACTTTGTGGAATTTTGAAACGAGATTTTAAAATTTCTCAATTTTTTTTCTTTTTCCATTCGAATCGATCATCGAAATCTTCGAAAAAAATCGAGTTGAAAAAAGGAATTCCTCGAGGAGTTAAAATTCGAAATGCGATTTCTCCAATCTGCTAGAACTTATCTAAACAGTTTCTTGTTAATTATTTGAACAAACCTGAGTGTTGCTTGAACAACACTCTTCGCAGGAAGAGATTATGCATTTTCATCTCAAGGTCACGCCCTGTTCCAAGCTTCTAAACTTGGATTGGAATTCAGTAGTTTAATAAATTTGATTCCGAAATGGAATTTCCTCGCCATTCCTCCATGTTATTCTACAAAAGATAACGAGATCGCGATCTTTCGAATACGCGCAACTGCGCATATTCTTCCCCCAACTTAGAATAATAATCGACCAAGGAATAAAAACGAGATAAATCCTCGATGCAATAAAAACCACGGAGAAACAATGGAAATCTTCGATATTGCAAAAAATTCGAAGAAAGAATCTTCAAAATCCACGATATGCCTTCTCGTCCTTTTATTTTCATCAAATTTGCACGACGAAAGGAACGAAAAGATCGGCCAGAGAATAAAGCGTTCGTTGCACGGGATGTTCGAAGCTCGTCAAACTTCTTATCCCGCAGAAGTCGAGGTTATAAACGAGTTTTTCGCGTGGCTCAAGGCCGCCTGCCCTTCTTCCTCCTCTCCGTGAAAAATCGATCGATCCCGAATCAATTGACCTACATCGCGGCTCATCGTTAGTCGAGGCGCGAACATCCCGTGGTTTGCACGTGGACGAGCCACGAATGTCGAGCAGGTGGCCGTTACGCTTTATTTAGATCCCAGCCGTTCAACTCCCATTCTCGATACATTTTAATCTTGGATGCTCGTGTTTTATCGATCGATCGATCGATCGATCGTTAAAACGTGAGGTTATCTTCTTTTTTTCTTCTTCAAGAAGAAGGAAGAGAATTGTTGTTGGAATTCGAGAAATTATACGTATGAAGATATAAGAATTAAATAATGATCGTGTGGAAATGTAGACGTGGGACAGGTATATGCGCGCCAGTTGTTACTTCCTCCCGTTGGATTATCCGCTGTCCGATTAATGCGGTACTTATACCACTTGATGTTGAATTTAATCGCTTTTACGTAAGATTCTCGTTCCGCCTCTTCGTTCTCGACGCTTCTCAACCGTGTATTGTACGATAACACGGTAGAAAAATGAGCGGTATACACGATTTTATTATCTGGGTTAAATTTCAATTCATTGTTTCAGATGAGACAAGTTGCACTATTGTTAGATGTTTTCTCTCCTTTCTCTTCTCCAAATACAAGACTTTTTATTACGTAAATTACTCGTCTATTATTCAACGAGAAATTTTTTAAATATTATTCGATTTTAGATGGAACGTTCAACGTAAAGTTGAAAATGCGCGCAGATGGCGCCACTGTGTAACATTGCGAATAATCCACAACCAATGGCGATACGCGTTCTATCAAATTCGTTAGCTTCTCGAAGAAGCTTCCGATTGGTTAGTCTTAAATTCGAAGCAACATTGGGCCATAACGAACGTCTTCGAACGTAATCGATAAGATGTTACAATTAGCATTTATTTCGTTTCAGTGTTATTAGCGTGATTGCATACAAGGGAACAGGTGACAATTTGAAAACACGAAAGTTGCGCAAAAGTCGCATCTCGTCGTCCAACTTTCTCGGTGCACTCGAACGATCG